GAGCAGCTGGATGTTACCCAGCAATGTGCACCCACAGCCCAGAAAGCCAGTCGTGTCCTGGGCTGCATCCAAAGCAGCATGGCCAGCAGGTCAAGGGAGGGGGTGCCCCTCTATCTGCTCTGGTGAGATTCTGGTATCCATCTCTGGGTTCCCCAGCACAGGAGGGATATAGACCTGTTGGAGCTAGTCCGGAGGAGGGTCACCAAAATGATTAGAGGGATGGAGCACCTCCCCTATGAGAAAAGGCTGAGAGATTGTTCAGCATGAAGAAGAGAAGGCTTTGGGTGACCTAATTATGGCCTTCCAGGAGCTGAAGGGAGCCTGACAGAGAGACAACAGAGAGACTTTTTACAGGAGTATGTATTGACAGCACAAGGGGGAATGGCTACCAACTGAAAGAAGATAGCTTTAGATTAGATATTAGGAAGAAATTCTTTACTATGACAGTGGTGAGACACTGGAACAGGATGCCCAGAGAAGGTGTGGGTGGCCCATCCCCAGAATTTTCAAGGACAGGCGGATGGGGCTTTGAGCAACCTGGTCTAGTGGAAGGTATCCCTGCCTGTGGCAGAGGAGTTGGAACTAGATAAACGTTAAGGTCCCTTCTAACACAAGACATTCTATGATTCTATTATTCTATGAAACTAAGTCTTGAATCAAAAAATAAAGGTATCTTTCATCAAGATGTAATGGTGGATTCTGTGTTACCATCAAACCAGTTGTTTTTCTAAAAGATGTAATCTAGTGGTAACAATATTCCCCTCAAGGAATGCCTTCAGAGCAATCCTGTGACCTGCCTTATTCTGGAGGTCACATTGCCATCTGTTATTCTGGTCTTATCACAAAGAAATTATGAAAGTCATATTCATGAATAATGTACATGTTGTGTTATTTAAATGATGCTTGGGTTTCAGTGCTGAGCACAGTAAAATTTGTGTAACAGTTGTTGGGCACTCCACATTTCACAACCAAGTAAGGTATTTCAAGTATTCATATATGTCCACCTAATTTTTTAATACTTTTACATTAATCTCTAAAAACATTGATTCTACAAATACAACTTGAAAATTCCACAATGATTAAAAAGAGACAGAGTCTTTTCCCAAAACTTACTTAAGCCTTCACAACTAGTTACTACTGAGGAAACGGAAACATGCCAGATGTAATTCAGCCTTTCTTCCATGGACAGGGCTTATGCACAGGCAGGAATGTGGCCACAGAGAGCATGCTGTCATCTGTGGGGACATATGGGAGCAGGAGTGCACCAGAATGTGTCCTCACATTTCTCCACTTCTCTGAGTGCACTATCATAAAAATAAGATTGTTATTGTGTCATCAGAACTGCTTGTCTTGGTTAAGTGTTTATATGATTGCTGCAAGAATCTGTGCCTAACAGACCTATTTTTCAAGTTTTTGGCAAACCTAGGCTGATATCTCCACAACACTCAAATTTCTGGTATCTTGGGAAGCTTCCTTTTGGAGGCACAAGATTCAACGTCTTTTTAATAAAAATAGAATTATGAAATGAAATTTGAGACTGGGCATGTGAAATATACAGTTTTAGGCCTGGTGTTTAAACTTCATGTTATTTCATCTCAATTCTGGTTCTTTGTTCATATTTTGCTCTTGACATACTGTTAAAATGCTCCCACTATATTTTTTTCTGTGTACTTAGGTCTTGAAGAGCATGATGTTATGGAGAACTACATAGCTTGTAAAGTTCCCTCTGTTTCTGCAGTGTATAATACATGGGCTAGGGGATTTTGAGGGTACAAAGCACTGTCCCTTCCCAGACAGAAATGAATACTTGGATAGAGAGAAAGAGGGACTGTTCTAAAAGCTGTCTTGGGATCTTTGCCATAATATGTTGGGGTTTAACTTTCGTTAAGATCCATATGTGTAGCCCTATCAAATTCCACATAAAAATGTCTGTGTAGGTCCAAACATCTCTTCCTTAAAACAAATGAAATCTATTTTCTTTTCCTTTGTACTCTTACTGCTTGTGGGAGCAGGTGGCATATGGTGGCATAACAACAACATTTTCAGAATAGCCTAGCTGCTGCTTAAGCTGTTTAAAAACTTAATTTTTAAATGGACCGTTTTCTTACAAATGTTAAGGGAAACACAATTTTTGTTTGTATTTTTATTTATAAGGACTTGCATTTAATCTTTAAAATAGGCAGAGAAACATTCAAAAATGGAGTTAATTAAAGTCTATTCAATTACTTCTGAGATTTGCATAGTTATAACATTTTTCCTTAATACATAAATATGGAGCTATCTGAAGAAAATATGGCATTGGGGAACTTGCAAAAAAGGAGACAAGTGACAGCTTTGCCTGGGCTCCCTAAACAGAAGTTGCTCTCTGACAGCTATTTATCCACTGTCTTAGGAGTTAAAAGGAGCCAACCCAAGAGTTGGAGGTGATGTCCCCTGGCAAATGTGCGTAGGTTTGATTTGCACCATGTGAGTGCAGCTTGTCACATAAATGCATACGTGTCAGAGATGTCAGGCAGGATGGGAGACCTGAGGGTTGCATTTCTGTGTTCATGCAGGTTGTTGCTGCTGTGGTATCCTTCCCTCATAGCTGGTGGGTTCACCCAGGCAGTGCCATAGAGAGCAGTGGAAGCTGTGGATGGATAAGGGCTACCAACAGCTTGTCTGTCAGTGTTCACCTTTTTGTGTTTGCCAATAGATTTGTTTATCATGTACTCCAATAGGAGGATCATACTACTAGCTGCCTGAGGTGCAGTGGTTACTATGGGTTGGGCCAGTCTGTTAATAAGTGATTGCTTGAGACTTGCTTATTGCTCTCTCACCTGCATGGTGCTGGAGCAGAGGCAGGTTCTGTAAATAAGTTACCCATCTATGTTGCATTAAAGAGTGAGAAGTGCCCCAGTGCACAAGGTGCTGAACGGGCTGTGTGGAGCAGGGCTTGGCTCAGACACAGACGCGGCAGAGCAATCTGGCCTCTATCTCTGTCAAGCCAACCCTGTGAGGGTGACCATTGCACCAGCCCGTCATACAGCCCTTCCAAGCGTTTAAGGAAAGCACACAGTCCTGATCCATAAGTCAGACTGAGATGACCTGCTCATGTACAAAGTGATGCGAGCCCTGTTAACTACATCTGGCACAGGATGTGGATGTCCACACCAGGACCAAACACACAAACTGCAGGAGAGGGAAGGTTTGGGGGACACAGAATTTTGCAGAGACAGATTGACTTGCCTTGTAGCTGGCTTTGTGCCCCCAGAGCCAGCCTCAGGATGCTGCTGGAGTGACCCCCCCAAGACCGCGCCTGGCATCGCTCAGCTCCAGCAGGGCATGCAGGGCAGGTGCCCTAATGCTGGGCTGACACGTGTCCGTCAGGTAAAGTGGAAGACTGCCAGTGTGTGGGAAGCCATTAGCCTGCAGGATTGCCTTGAATCTCCCTTCCCAGAGAGTGCTCTTCTTTCACTTCTAAGGATTACACTGCTTTGTCCACTTTCTACTGAGCTCACTTCAGACTGAGTTTCCTGAGGGGATAAAAAATAAAAAGACTGTCAAGTACCATGTTTTCTTATTCTTATCTCATATTTAGTTTTCTAATTGCAGCTTGGAAATAAAATATCCTTCCTGCTAATTTTATTCTTTTGTATTTGGGAAATGTTGCCAAGTGTGACAGCTTCTTCCTTTCAAAGATGCACTGTTAAGATGTTTTTTTCCTCGCTTCACAATGACAGAACTGTTAAAAAGCACTGGAGTCTGGAGAAACATTCATTTTGTGTGTGCCAGTGAAGCAGTGCTTATTAGCTCTAGCTTAATTTAAATCTGTCTGCAGCAGAGGGATGGGTTTATTTACACATTTCCTAATAATGCTTTGAATCTGAAAGTTATTTCTGCATAGGAGTGTAAGGTCTTTGAGTGGATTTTCCCAAAAGCAGCTAAAGAGATTAGGTATCAGTGTTCAGTAGAAGCTAGGGGCTGCCTCTTCTACACTCTGTTATTGAAAACTTCAGCTTAGGGGACCTCTCATTTTCAAACAAAGACTACTTACTGGTTCTCATTTAATGCCACACTGGAGGGTTTTTTTGCTTGGAAAATATCAATACCAATGTAAAATTCAAGGAGTTTTTGAAGAGAATGTATTGCCATTGCATACAAAGAAGAAACATTGCCTGGCTACAGACTGGGACACTGTGAGGCTTTGATCAGTCCTGTGAGACCCACAGGCTGCTCCTACAGAGATCGCTTATCCTAAAGGCTCAGGAAGATATAATTAGGAGGGTAAATGGAAAATTAATGTTTCTTTGTGCAAAAAATGTTACCCTTTGTGTAGAAATAAAGAAATAAATCAAGATGTGAAGCTCTTCAAGCTTCTGAGGTAATCATGAACAGCTTCCCCATGTCTTGCAAAGCCCATTCCCCATTGTCCTTGTGCTCTTGGCTGTGGGACTGACTTGAGCTTTGCCTCATCCCTGAACTGCACTTTGCTTCTAGAAGAATGTGGGAAGGAAGGGAGTGGCAAGAAGCACTTTGCAAACTGCCATTGAAGAGTCCAGGATAGTCTCTGCTGTACTGACACCACGAATGGCCAAGGTGCATTGAAACTATATCAGATCTTTTGTGGTGAGTGAGCTCTGAGATGAGACTGATGGGAATATCTCTGTACTATTAGAAAGAATGGAGTTGGGAAAACAAATGTGAGAAGTCACTTTTAACAAAAATAGAGCTTCCTTGGATCATTATGTTTACAATGGCACTGCCTTGCTGACCTCTCAGAGCTGGAGAAATCTATTCTTTTTTTCTTCCCGGTGTTATAAGACAGATTGTGCCTGCTCTTAAATAATGAAATAAGCCAAGTTCCACACAACATAAGACATTTGAAAATGTTGCTATAAATGTGCAGAGGTTGTGCATTTCTCAGTTAAAACAGATTCTTTCAAATGGTTCTTTCTCCAACTCTTCCCCCTTAACAAATGTGCAGTTAATCACAGACTGAAATCTCTTTCCCCCTGTAGATTGTGTTCCGGAAAATCAGCGACGTCAAACGTGAAGAGGAGGAGAGGATGAAGAGGAAGAACGAAGCACCTCTGATCTTACCCCCGGACCACCCGGTTCGCCGGCTGTTCCAGAGGTTCAGGCAGCAGAAGGAAGCGCGGCTTGCAGCAGAGAGGGGCCGAGATCCGGATGACCTGGATGTGGAAAAGGGCAATGCTCTAGGGGAGCAATCCTCTGCTCGCTCGGTGGTCAAAGCCAGCATAGTGACTGTACGGGAGAGTCCGGCGACCCCTGTGTCCTACCAGCCCGCGTCGACCTCTGGGACCTCTGACCAGGCAAAGCTGCAGGCCCCAACACTGGACCATGCAGGGTGTAAGGCCTCGGGGGACTACCCCCGACGAAAAGGCTGGGCCAAATTCAAGGAAGCCTGTGGGAAAGGTGAAGATTGGAACAAGGTCTCTAAAGCAGAGTCCATGGAGACTTTACCAGAGAGAACTAAAGCTTCGGGAGAAGCTACCCTGAAGAAGACAGACTCTTGTGATAGTGGCATTACGAAAAGTGACTTGCGCTTGGATAACGCTGGGGAGACGAGAAGCCCCCAGGACCACAGTCCGGTCCTCACTGAGGTCAAGCACTCCTTTTATCCCATCCCAGAACAGACTCTTCAGGCCACCATGCTAGAAGTGAAACATGAGTTGAAAGAGGACATCAAGGCTTTAAACACAAAAATGACCAATATAGAAAACCAGCTTGCTGAGATACTTAGGATATTGACCTCAAGAAGAAGCTCCCAGTCGCCACAGGAGTTGTTTGAAATATCAAGGCCCCAGTCTCCAGAATCAGAAAAAGACATGTTTGGAGCTAGCTGAGGTGTTTCTTTTAAAAAACGAACAAACCAATAAACAAAGGAACAGCCCCCTAACACTTTACATTTAACCTTTCTAGAAAACGAGTGAGGGGCCAGTTCACTAAGCATGTTCCCTCTGTCTAAAAAGGTATGGTAACAGGAATTGCAACCTCATGTCAAGATGGCAGCTGACTTCGAAGCCTTTTTGACAGCAAGGGTACAGTTTCTGAAGTTTTTATTTTCTCCCTCTGTGCCCATTCCCCCTGACTCCCTCTCTCTCCCTCGGGATGTTGGAATAAGAATTCTGACAGCAGCAGCCGTTCCTGTGAGCCCCAGGTGACCTCTGAGGTTTTTGGAGCATGCCTTACGTCCTTCGCTCGGGTTTTGCCTATGTGAATAAGCACTTGCCAGGGTGCTTATATTTTCAGCATTTGGTGGGTTGTTTGTTTTTTGGTTTTGTTTTTTTGTTGTTGCTGCTGCTGCTGTCACTGTCTCAGTCACCTGTACAGCATGTTTGATGTCACAGTATATTTTCATTTATCTGTACTAATGCAAAGAGCAGTAGCAGATGTATTCCACGTCAATAGATTGTGTGCTATTCGGTACTGAAGTTTCTTTTGTGTAGTCAAGGAAGGGCTAATAAGATGAAAAAAAATGGTACTTTTTAATTGCAAACTGACATTACTAGCAATTACATTTAGCAACATCTTCAAAAATAGCCACAGTATTTCAGATCTGTTAATAAATGGGAACTTCCACACTGTCATTCACTGGATCAAGGATACTGATTTCAGAAACTTAATTTCTGTCTCAGATGTCTTTCAACATTTGTTACTTTTGCTTTTAACTCCAGTTGCTGGAGACCAGAGTTGGGTGTGCAGCGTACCTGAATGCAGCCCACTGCACAACGTGTTGTGAACGTCACTAACAGGTCCTGCAGATTTGCCTCCTGATGAAAATATACTGTGGCATTCATGTCCTGGTTTTGCTAAGAATCTGCTCTTTTAATTCTTGTTAAATTATTATTGCGAAGTTTCTGTTTTGATAACATTCATTGTAGCCAAAGGCTTTCACAGAATTTTTAACAGTTTTAGATTATGGCATTTTCCTCTACATCCAGATGTAATGTTCCTGATCTAATCTAGCTAGAAAGCAAATGGATAGTAGAGGTAGAAATACAGTTCTTACTGTATGCAAGTGCTATTGTAGCAAGGAAACAAAGAGATCTGCTTCTTAAAGAAGGAGATGTTTCCAAAACTTATATTTTCATAACTTTTTTTGGAGGATGATCGAAGCACTTTACCAAAACTACTCTTCATTATTCATATAGGGTAGCATAGCTGGTATCATGACTTGTGTTCTTACCTTGGAATATAGGTGTATATTCACAGTATATTCACTTCACTGATCTGGTATGTTCACTGCTTAGCAGTTGATTAGAGTTCAGAAGTAGGGTGCCACACTTTTATGGGTTTTCATTTTTAATGGCAATAGGTCTTAACACTGTATGTGTTGAGTCTCATTCTTTTTCCATGGTACTAAGTCATTTACAAAGAAACACATGATTTTTTGGAGGGAAGATTTTGTTTGTGTATGGAAGAGGCAAGGAAAATGACGAGTTTAAAGGATTTCTGCTGGCCTGATGCTTGCACACTGCAATGCAGTGTCAGAAATCCCTGGGAGGTGGGAGGTCCACTGATGACTGGCACAGTGGTGAGGCCGTGCTGTGCAAAGCTACCAGCTCTGGTCATGTGGTCAGTGCATTTATACCTGTTCCTGCAGTAACTGCCCTTGCTCTCAAAGATGCTGATTATTCCAAGTGCAGCACCACCATTTACAAGTCCAGAGGCAGATGGTTTAGGATTGGCTTTCAAGGGTCTTACACCCTGTTTCAATATGGAAGTGCCCACAGACTGTGAATTCTTATCCAGGGACCGAAACATTCCTGAGAAACAACTCTCGGGATAAACCTTCTTCCTTCCCACAGCAAAAGGCAGTAGGGAGGTGAGTTGCTCTGAAACTAAGATGCCATTTCCTTAATTTATTGTCAATTCCATGTTTAGGTTTTTCCAGTGGTAGCTGGTGTCTTTTACAGTTGTGCACTGCACACCTGCAGTGCTGAGGAAGGCTCTCTTTGACCAAAGCCATTCTGTGTGTTTGGTGCTTTAATCACTGTAAGTGACAGCAGTTACCAGCAACAGCCATGGCATGGCTGCTGTAAGAGACCCATACATCCATGGTTTCGGTTAGAAACTGTTGAATGATTTTTTTTCTTTTTGGTCTCCTTAGTCAGTAAATTCCACCTAAGTAAACCCTGGGTGTACTGATATACAAGGATTTGTATTTGATTTCCCAAAGTTCCAGCAAGTTTTTAAAGACTGCCTTGGAATCAGTTTCCTGATCGAGGCAAATTTTTCACCAGCATGATGTTCTTGACACTTGGTTTCCTTCATAAAATTTTTGAAAGGCCAAAAGTCTTAGCAAGTCCTTTGTGAAAGTGTCATCCATTTACCTGCACTTGGATAAACATGGACATTAGCTTATCCCAGGTGGATGAGGGAGGAAATGTTTACAACCTCCCAAGTATGTGCCTACTATTTCCAGAATTGCAGTGCAGACATAGAGTTAAATGTGCAATTGCAGGTTGCCTGGCCCTTTGTTGCTGATACTGAATTGATATTTCTCGGTGATATTTTTGTGTGCCCTCAGGGATATCCTAAAGGTTATTCTGGTGTTGCCTATTGCCCAGCCTGGAATCTCAACAGGACTAGCCCTAGAAGCCCCATAATTATAATAATAATCCACTCCTGTGAACAAAGGCAGACAACTGCCCATTTTCTGAGGGTGCTCCTTGTGTAGCCTGATGCTCAGTATGATACTGAACTGCTGCACACCCCATGTGACAGTGGGTGGGCACAGCACCAAGTCCTTTTCTAAGGCTTTTTTCAGACTCTTGCAATGGCCTATAAAGGCATTTGTTATCCATTTGTAAAGACTCCAAAGATTGTAACACGCTCTCAAATTCCACTGAAAATTTAATGTCTTTGAAGATTATGACCAAATTCAATTTTGTTGTGGTCATGAAACTGCAGAGAAACTCTGTACAATGACACCTTCAGAGTGTCTGCTCCATGTCAGCCCTGACAGTGGTCAGTGTCACTCAGATTTGTACAGCTGTAACTGAGATTAGGCCCATTTTTATGAACTGTTAGGCACTAAAACTACTTGTAGGAAAGTGCATCATCTCTCAGTAACCTGTATTTGTTGTAAGACAATTTGAAAAATGATGCTATCTAGGATGAGCATTGATGTTTGGATTCCCTGGGCTACTGAGTGGTTAAAAAAATGAATGAGGCCATGCCCACTTTGGGAGTAGTCACTCCTTTTGAAACGGACTAGTTTGGACCTGCGCTGTGGTGCCCAGGCACCGCTGATGCGACACTTTTCCTTTAAGGAGTGGCTGAAAGCACCTGTGTTACAAATCTGTCTTTCTCCACTGAGCCTTACACTTGGATGCCTGTGGCTGGACAGCATGTGTACCCATTGTAATTGTTACTTGTTCTTTCATTTTTTTGTCAGTCTTTCCTTTTTCTTTTGTTCCTCTGTACATGGTGGTTAAGCCTTTTCACTTAAATTACGTTCCAGCTTAGAAATGAAGGCTCTCTGAACATAAGATTCTGCCCCTTCACAAGCAAATGCTTGTACATACTATAAGAAAAAACCCCAAAGCCTCAGTTTTAACTGTGTTCTGGCACAGTGCTTCTGCCATTTAACAACCTGCTAAATAAGCTGCACCATTCTAAAAGAGATGGTGTGCTCCATTTTGATATATGGTGTAATTAAATTTCAGTCAAAAGAAGGTAGCTGAGAAAAAGAGCCTGGTTTATGATTTGGTAAAATGGGAACTTTCTGAAAGTACATGCTTGAATGGTGAGAAAGAATACCAATATGCAGCACAGAAAAAAAAAAAAAAAGGATTAAAAAAGCAAACCCCAGCCCTCATCCCTACCGTGTTCAAATACATTTACTTCTGTCCAGTATTACATGTATACGTTTGAAAACACCATTCTTGCTTTAAATCTCTTTCACAGTGCTGCCCTGAATCCCAGCGAATACCCTGTTTAACAGCTTGGAAGGTGACGTTCTGTTTCTACAGTACTTCCCTTTAATGACCTGAACAAGATATTTACTGTGACTATCTGGTGATATATTTTCAGTCATTCTTAACCAATCTGTGAAAAAATTCAGTACATAATTTGTCTTTACTATATAAACGACGTGTATGATTACGCTTGTGCAGATGCGTGTACATACACACATATATATATAATATCAGTGTACAGTGAGTCTATGGATTGCATTTCTGTTAAGCAAAAGCACGTTCCTCATTTTATGATTCCAGTTCAAGAAGGGAGCTTAAATCTTCCCAGTAGACATGCACAGAATGTCCTAGTTAGTGTCTTGTTTGTTAACTGTTGAACTTTTAAGGCCATGATTTTTGAATTTTCTAGTTGGCCTCTAATTCATACAGTGAGTCTAGTAAATAGTGTGACTGAGATAAGATCTGACAAAGGGTCATGATAATCAGGAAGAGAAATCCACATGAAATTGGAGAAACACTGTATTCTAGTTGGTGGGGATAAGGCTCATAAGCCGGTATTTGTTGCTCACAGTATCTTTGAAGCCAAGATGCCCTGGTAGTGTTTCTCATGGCTTCTGCAAGAGAGATGATGGAATAAATGGAGTTATTTTTCCTGGTGCCAGGGGCTGCCTCAAAGGTGCTGAGCCTATCTTTCTCCTCATGGGCAGCATAACACATGGTTGCTGCACCTCTGCTTTCCTGTCCTGGTGTTAGGTGGTAAAAAGCATCTTCTACTGAATTCTTCATTTCCACATAGTCTCCTGTGAGTGTATTGGCAATAACAAAGTCTGTGTTTTAGCTGCACTTACGATTCATTAAGACAAACGTTTTAGAGAGAGTCCCATCCAGGGGAACCTCCAGAAATTTGAGGTGAGGCACAGTAGGATACTGTATCCTCCAACCCAACATAGTTTTGACCACATTGTTGTGGCAAGCATTGATTCAATTAAATAAAAATAAAGCTTTTTTTGCAATAAGATATATCCAGCATTTAGCCTTAAGACCCTTTCATAAGTGATATAATTCAAACTGTGATTCCATTCTCCTTCCTTCTTAATGTTCTTTAGTATTTACAGTTTTGCCTAAAGATGAAGCACTTTGATTAGCTTTCTAAATCTAATGGAAATCACTTGCTGGTAATCACATTTCTTTCTCCACTGATTGCCTTCTTATTAGGATAATGAATTACTCCAATAGCCCTCTCCCCTCATAAAGTAAAGAGACACAGCTATTGTCTAAACACTTTTGTACATCAGGGAGACAACCCATCATACTGCAAAAGTGTTGGTTTCAAAGGTGTTTTTTTACAGTTCAACAAAGCTAATGTGAATTTACCTGCAACTGTAATTTTTTTCAAACTGATTGTTGAGTGTTGTGTAAACATATTTGATGTGTAATCCCAGAACACCTCTGTAACTGGATCTAAATGCATAACATTAGGTTAACAAAACAGTTCGGGGTTTTGACTAACTGTTCTGAAAGGCTAATGGTTTTCTTTCTTCTTCCCACTAAATCTGTGACCACTAACATAGAAAAAGAATCATTTTAGCTGTAGATGAAAGAAGTTCAATAATCTTGTATCAGGATGAACTGCTATATAAAGAAATACCAAGTTTTCTAATGAATGTGTTATATTATCGTACCTACATACAATCAATATTTGTACATCTGTTGGAGACCTGTCTGCGTTCCAATATTTAGCAACCACTGCATGGACACTTGATTGATATGCAGCTAATGCAGTTGCTTTGGCGCTTTTCAATGTACTTCACTTGCTTTTATCCTTTCAGAAATCCACCAAATACTCTTGGTTCTTTTTCTTTGCATTTGTCACTTTGTTCAATGAAGCATGACTAGAAAAAGAGAACGAGTAGATACTATTTTTGTGGTCAGCAAAGCAGCTGCCAGTAGATAGACAGCGTGTGTATGTGTGTATGCACACTGTCTGGGAATGTTTCTGTTACAAATGCAGCCACCTACATTAATGATATCCCTAGTCAACATTTTTAAACAAGCACAAATAATATTTGTAAAAAAAAAAGTTTAATTTTATTTATTATAGTAATAAACTATTTTATACATTACAGTTGGTTTGGTGTACTTTTCTATGTGTTGAATATGTGCTTTTAAGATCAACAAGGTGGTTTTAAATTGCCCTCTAAAACTTCAGGCTAGCAGTTTGTTGCTGTTGGTTTGTAACTGAAGTGTTATCAGTGGAGCAGTGTGATCTTATTGTTCCATTTGTAAATAATTCAGGTTGTTTCCTCAGATTTCTATCTGCTGCATATCAGTGCAGTTGGGATTTATATTTCCAGCATCACTTTAAACTGAACTCAGGTGTTCTGTAAAGTGAATATCCTGGCACCCCAGGCAGTGTCCTGCACCATGGATCCCAGTCTGGGCCACTTATCTGCTGAGCAGGAATAAGATCACCTGTGACCTGTCTGAAACGGTCATTCCATATCCTGGGGGTACATGTGTCTGTACTTGGTCTGTATTTTAGACCATGTTCACTACTGCAATATCTGACAACTATTACAAAACTTACAGCAACCACAGTACTAGAGGGAGATCAAAGAAGCTTCTGCTGTCCTGTCATCTGCTGCAGAAGAAAGTGACAGTACTATGGCCTTACACAAAGACAAGCCCCACAGGAGTGAAGCCCCTAGTGTTGTGTCACCTGTCAGTGACACTACTGCAACAGGTGGCAATGAGTATTATTTTGTTGGCTACCACAGCGAAGGAATCCACAACCAGAGGTGATGGGAAGGGGAGATCCTTTCAGGTCAGAATAGACATATGTGACAGGATCACAGTCATCAGCCATTCCTGCAGGCCAGGAGGCACTCTGGAAGTTTATACGACGTTTTAGTCTTCAGGATGTCAGCCTGGCCCCCGTGAGTTTTGCATCCATTTTTGTGGTTCGTTCTCCATCCTCTCAGCCAAGGGTCTGGTGAATGTGCCTGTCACCTGCATTATGACACTACATGGCATTGTGAATCTCATCTTCAAAAGAACAGCAATAAAGCACAAGCTTTCAGACTGCAGAGTTGAGGCGGAACTGTACAAAGCAGCCAAGGAGCACAATGAGGAGCTATTTTTAACACCATTTCTGCATCCTCTGTCATATGTGGTGTGACAGGATCTCTTGTCACTAGGATGGCTTCCCTGGCCAGTGTGAAAATCCAGCTTTCTTTTGCCTAACATTCTGCAGTGTTTCCTATACTTATTAGAAAAGGGAAAATTACCATAGTGAAGGCATGTACTTTATGTTGGGGTTTTTTTTTGAGGTCTCTAGAGGCTGTTGTGCTTGTTTTCTGAACAATCTGTTATTTTCCCTGCTCAGGCATTTCCTGCACTCTTAGCAGCCTCCCTGGCTATGCTGCAAGCTTCAATGAGTGCATAGAGGAGTAGCATTGCCTGCACAATGTTCCCCATCAGTTTCCCTTCCCTCAGCAGCCCCACAGCATTTCAAACCAAAGGTTCTTAATTACAGCACTCTTTGCTGAGATTTGTGTGCCAAATTGCAAAGGCTCATGTTCCACTTGCTGACCCGTCAGGCCTGGGCTCAGCTGGGCAGCAGCTGCCCCAGCAGCTGTGAGCAGCCCCTAGCTCACCTGCACCAGCCCCTGCTCCTCATTCACTGCACCTGGGAGCACATTCATAGCAGGAACAAATAGTTTCTAGAGCACAGGGTGTGTTCTATGGCTCCTGACTTTTCTCAGGAATAGCTTCAGGTATTGCTGCTTCTGTTTGGTTAAGAGTTAGTGTGCAAAGCGTACCACCTACAAGATGCCTGAAGGTGAATATCCCGAGGAAAGCTTGGGGTTGGAGCCTGTACAGTGCTGTACAGCCTCCTTGGGGCTGTAAAGGAGCCCCTTGCTGGTAGTATCAGATGGCAGGGAGCCCTATGGATTCTTCCTTGCCTGGGTGGCAGCTGTTGGGGAGCTCTGCCAGGGACGTGGTGGCTTTACCTGGCTGGCTTTGTGGCCCCAGGGCAGCAGCAAGGACTCCCAGGGCAGTGTGCAGTGTGGCAGCTTGTGGAGAGGTGAGTGCTGCCTACACAGTTTTAAATTCTGCATTTGATAATGGAGGTTCTTTAATTGCCCTGTGGATCATTTTAGTATCTCTGTTAAGGCTGGAAGCACTCCAGCTCCGGTGCTTTTTTGAATTGGAGTAAAGATGACCAGCATAAACTAGCTCTTCTGTGCTGTGAGAACCAGTGGGACTGAACTGCAGCTAATCTCCCTCCTCTCACACATGTGCACAATAGCAATATGTTTTATTTTCTCCCCCAGCACCAAAGGAACATCAAAACTGTTTCTGTTCGGTGTGTGCCACCAGTGTGTCTGCCTGGTGTGGGACGACGTACAGGACAGCCCACGAAAATTCGGGGAGAGCAATGAGCCCAAGAGCCACGTGCCCCCTCACCTAGTGAGACACAGTTGCTGCTCTCCAACCTGCCCACCCACAGTGGGCACCAAGGCTGAGGAGACCTTGGCTGATGAGCTGCTGTCTGTGCTTGCCTTGTGCTCCAGGGAGGTAGGGTGGTTAGTAAGGCTGCATATCCAACCAGAATATGCTGGGAAGGAAGTGGCTTTGCTATGGTATTTATTATTGCTGCCAATGGTGTGAGGGGTTTAATTGCAATAGGCATACGGGATATAAAAAAATATCAGCCAATACAAGTATTTTTCAGATAGAAGATCGAATTTTTCGTACTAATTCACCACAACTTCAGTGTTGGCATGTGGAAGCTGGTGGGAATAACCTGTCCTGTTCTTGAAAGACAGGATGAGTAAAAAACTGTGAGAGATCCAAAGAGAGCATTAGAGTAACTGAACTCCTGTCATCTGTCAGAAGCAGATACGGAGACGCTTGTGCACAGCCGTATCTGCAAAATACATGTGCTTGAGCCTTGTCTTTTTACTTTTTTTTTCTTTTTCCATTCCTTCTCCCCTTTCCTAATTAAGTAGGAAAATCATGTAGCACAGCCAAGTTCATATTCAAGCTGCCCCATGGCACAGGTGTAGGTTTAAAACAAGCTTAATTTTGGCAGCTTCATCCATCATGACCAACTCCCAAGCTTTCTCCCTGGAAATCCCACATGGTACTGATAGAGGCAGGACTGTCTGAGAAATCTTGAAGAGGTTTGGGGGTTTTTGAGCTTTGTTCACTTATAGAGATGTCCTTGAAGATGTTTCTGTTCAGGCAGATGAGGAATGAGGTGAAGGTGCGGGTTTGGCTGTTAATCCCTACCCTGGGGGAAACACATTTGCCCCTGCGAATGTCACTGCAGTTTTGTGTGTGCAAATCTGAGGGGGGCGTGCTTTTTTACTGGTATTTCCTTCCACATCCCCAATCTCCCAGCTAACTTTCACAACTCAGGGAGAAAGAAGCTGTGCTGGAGTACCTATTACACACGTGAATTTTCTATAAAAGGAAGATGATGGTCTCTTTTTCAGCCACCATAACACTTCAGATTATGGCCTCCTCAGGGACTACCATGGGGGGGGAAACACTGAGCAGCAGTAGCACACTGAGTGCACTGTTAAGCCTGGGAGCTACTGTGTGCTCAGCGACAGGACCAAGACAGCTCAGCAAGAAACATCTCCCTGCAAGCAGTGGCTTACAGTGAGGAGAAATAGATTGCTTTCAAACCTCTACAGCAACCTTTTTTGCTGAGTTTTACGGTCAAGCAGAAGGTATTTTAGAAGAAAGTTTATTGAACATTCTCAGCTGTGGCGTGAAAATTGGAAAGAAAGCTAAGATAATCTGTACGTAGCCCCAAGTCAAAATAAAGTATTTATTTTGGTTTTCCTTTAGAATGATAACACTGCCATGCAACCATGTGAACCTGGCTAGTGGAAGTGGAGAGACAGAAATACAAACTAAAGCAGTTCAGCTGAAAGCTGAATAGAGAAAAGCATCCTTTAGGAAAGTATACAGAAACTCTGTGTGAACTACTGCATGAAATTACAATTCTGCCAACAAGAATTGTAAATAGCTCTGTAAAATGGGGGTGGGAGCCTCTCAGCAAATAAAGCAGCTGTAAGCCAGGCATGCTCAGAGGCTGCAGGCTGGTTGCTCTGACCCCTGGGAAAAGAGTCTAAGGTCATGGCAGCACATGAAAGCAGCATATAATGTAGCCAAAGTACAGTCCTGGGTACCTGTCTTGGTGGTTTTCCTTTGTCCAGGAAAATCAGTTCTGGAGAAATATCCGTGTCTCATGTAAGCATCCAAGGAAAGCCTCAGAAAACAAAGGGCGAGAGGGTGGGTGCAACCTACCTACTACCAAAGGGGTAGACACGAGGGAGGGAGCGGGAAAGGAAAGCACAACACTAGCACAAGAGCAAATGGGACTGACTGCCCAGGAGGCTCCTTTGGCTGGAGGTTATAACGGGCTCTAGCCCACTGAGTCACCATCTGCCTGCTGAAGGAGCCGTGAGATACTTTATCCTGCCTTGGTTGTCTCTCCTAGTGCCATAGAGTGCCCTTTAAGGCTGCCAGCAGCCCTAAAGCTTTAAATATTTAACTTGGAAACCTTATTATTACGAAAATGTCATTTTTCTTAAACTGGAAGTTTCCTCAACCAGCATTAAGTAATAGGCACTTCAGAGCCTCCATTTTGAATGGAGCATTGCATTTTGAATGATTGTCATGCTTTTTGAAGCCTTTTGCTTATGTCAGGGCTCATACCCAACTCGCAGTTGTTCATGGTGTCAGTGGTTGTTGGCATAACCATTCAAGGCAAGCAGGACATCTTCGGCAACTGAAGACCTTTTGTAGGTCTTGTATTTTTACCAAGTGATGTTTGGCAGGATTTGATCAGATTGAGGAACTCTGAGAATAATTAACCTGAGTGAAGGGTGCTAAACTCTGGGCAGATGGCACCAGCAGTGGTGTGTGAAGTGTGAGTCAAGAGATGTCACAGTTGACAAGCTTTGAGCTCAAGACCCACTTGCTCACAGATTCCTGGTGATCTTGTGGTATTACTATCTGGAATGCTGGGGGCTCAAAACCTGCCTGGAGGCCCTGGCAGGCAGCAGTGGGGTTGGGCAAGTGTTGGATTGCTCATTAGGCAGCCTGGTCCTGGGCTGATGCTTTCCAAGGCAAGACTCAGACCATGCCCTGACTGTGTTTGCAGCACTGTCATGAGAACTGAGCCTGATCAAGGGGTGACCTTGAGGCAGGATGCTGAGAGCAGGTAGAAGGCAGCTGAGAGGTGGCTGAAGTGGTCTGGAGCAGAGATATGACCAAATGAAAGTTATTAGCCTGTAATTTCAGCGTGAATTACCACCTCAGCACAGAAGTATTACCACAAGAGTAAAGAAGCCCATAACTACAAATTAGCAGTAACATCACTTAAAGAACTGCCTCATAAATGCTTATTTTTATCTCTACAAGTGGCTTACTGTAAGGTAATCCCCCCATATAACTGAGCCCCCAAACCAACCTTAAACCTTGCAGCAACAGCCTGAAAAAGAAACCACAACAGGATCCTATTTTTTCCTGAAGACTTACCTTTTAATTAATTTACCAACAGTGTAGCTGTTTCTGGTCTGCTAGTATCATTTCCAGTTCTTCTATTTTTGCCACTTAATTTTGGAAACTCAAATGCTCTAACACAGGGATGGAAATGCTGCGGTCCATAAAAATTAATTAATTTTGTCAAGAAAGATCTAGAGGGAGTGCCAATACAATTTAAATGTCACAGGTAATAACTGAAGTTATATTTCTGTATTATTTCTTCAGTAAACTTTAATTTTTCAGTGGTTGGCTGATGCACCTGTCTGCAATGATTCACTTCAGCTATCCAACCATATATAAAGCTTTTCTTAAATCCCTGTGGACAGTAGTGCAGTTCTGTTAACTGTAGGCTGACCATTGCTGGGGAAGGCATGGGCCACAGGTAGCCCATTTCATCTGAGCTCTTTGGTACGCGGGCTACTTACACTTAGACTGAGCTGCCCCAGGTATGATAAAAGGTGGTGCAGCCTAGTTTGTGGTCAAAATTTGCCTGTTACATGCTGATGGTAGTTTAACCTGCTCTCACATAGACCTTTGTGACTCCCAGCATAAGGAATGAGGAGAATTTTGAGGATCTGCATGTGTGTTTGATTCCCTAATGCTGCCATGTAGTTTTAATCCTGCCAATATCTGTACTGGGTACAGAGTGCACGTGCCTTTTTCATCCCAGAGCAGTAGTTCTGAGGGCTAGCAATGCTGACACTGGCTGGAGGACTCACATTGCAGAAGCTTGTGGGAACTGCCCTGAACAGAGCGGTGCAGAGGTTGCCTCAAAGTCGAGCCTTGACACTCTTCAGCTCCATCTCTTGCACAGTGTCTGAAGTATATGGGTCAGATCCATCAGACACTTTCTTTTCCTTTTCCTGTTCTTCTGGGCATTGGTGGCCTCCCTGAAAGCCTCTGAAGCTTGGAGCTGCCAGTGCTTGCTCCCAGGCTGGGGATGTCTGAGCTGAGTTGGTCCCTCCCCAGTAAGCTCAGGTGGAGGTGAGTCACGCATGGGCAGCTGGGACTCATTCTCAGGTGCTCTGGCATCTGAGTACTGTGTTGGAGGTGAGTGCTTGTGCATGAAGCAGAAATTTTAAAAAAAAAATAGTTCTCGTCTTCTTTTCTTTCTCTTAAGTGTGACTAACAAAGGAACCACTCCACAAGCAGCGAGTGGTGGAACCGCTGGAATTCAGTGCACGTGCACAGAACAGCGCTGTGCATCTGTGGGGGTCAGCAGAGATGCCCACCAGAGAAGGTTGCTCTCAGGGGTCCCATAATACAAGAAACGATCTATTGTAATGCAGATTTCCCCTCGTTCCTCAAAGGTGTAACAGGAGAAGCCATTCTTCACAGGTTTTGCATAGAGCAGTATTTCAGCTGTCCCTGCTGGATTAAAATATATGCCTTGACTAACAAGTGGCCATGTGCCAAGAGTGTTATTTTGCAAAGCAATAATGGGCTGTGCTACTTGGGGGAGGGGGGGAACTATAAAGCACCGTGAGAAGCTGTGACACATCATGCATAGCAATCTCCTTGCTCTTCACAGCTCCTTGAGGACAATCCTGCCGGCAAACCAGGGGAAGGCAAGCCCCCCCTTCAGCAACTGCGAGCTGAGACCAGCTCAAGGGTTAGCAGTGACAAAGGAAATTGGGTGCGCAAGAGAAAGGACAGGCCCTGCATTATTGCTGTGACTAAATAACAAAATTGCTGCAGGTTTTCACAGTTAAACTGTTTTTCTTCTGACCTGTGGTAAGCTGGTTATTCCAACTAAGCTGCTTTTAGCCCTCAGATGTGAAAGAGATACGTGAGCAAAGCCTTGCTCACCCACTAATCAATGCAGAATTAAAGAAAGAGCCACTTAGCGTAATCCTACCATCCCCAGTAATAAGGATGGCTGGGAGGGCTCTGTTAGCCAAGGAGGGGCTAGAGGAAGGGTATGTGTTTGTGTGTACGCAAGAGACTTGATTACTAGAGGTTTGTGGTAGCCATTAAAGCCATAAATTAGATCAGGCTATACTTGCCAGTCTCTCAGGCAGTTTTTGAAATCACTTCTGTACTGGTTTTGTCAGTAGCCATTAACGTGTCTGTCCAGCTCATTTTCAGAGCTACTGCTTTCAGTTTTTTCTTTTTTTTGGTCACTGCACTTTCGTGACTTTTAGGGTCTCTTAGCAGTAGAAGTCATTGTCTGCTGTTCCCCCCACACCTGACAAGAAGTGCTCCCCTTTGGTTCAAAAATGGCCAATGTCTTACCTTGGCAATTTCTGTCTTTGTCAGCTGTTTCCTACATCCCTTAACTAGCTTTTCCTCAGTGCTTGGAATTCTCTCTCTCCTCTTCCCCTCACCTACTTTTTCCTTTCATATGTGGGATGGCTGCTTCAGTCTCTTCAGTCTCTTCTAGGTCTCTGTAAACTCTCCCGTCTCTAGACTGTCACAGAGGACTTGCTTGGAGGATGGCACTTTGGGCTACCACACAACTATATCAGCTGCCATCTGACAACAAAGGGTCACTTCTCAGGTCATGCTGAGGAGTGTGTTTCCAAGCTGAAGGCATAGCTAACCATGCATGTTTGTAGTGCTTCAGGCAGAGAGCTGTGTGTGACTGAGTGTGCCCCATGCTGGCAGCTGCTGGATAAGCAGGACTGAGAAGGAACTTTGTGAGCGGGAAACATCATTTTAATTGTATGCTATTCTTCTCAGAAGCTTCAAGTGCTGAAGTCTCACCTTAGCCCATCTACAAAAGGTGTATTCGCTTTTTAAACTCACACCATTAGGGAATGCATGTTCCAGCATAGCAAGGAAAAATGTGACCTGTCTGCAATGGTACCCATCCTGCAGGCTTTCAGTGCATTGCAGTGTTTCTTCGCGACAGTGGAACACTTTATTTTCTTACACCAAACCGCAGCTTTCCAAGACACAGTTCTCAAGCCAACAGTCCGTTTCAGCTTTATTTATATAAACAGAAAAAAGATACAAAATTATAATATATATATAAAGCACTGGAAAAAAAAAAACCAAACCAATTTTAGTTCAGAAATAATGATATGACCTTCAAGGTCATTTCCATATTGGAGCTGGAAGTTTTGCATGCATACAAATTGGAATCCAATTAGTTAGTAGCTCCTCGTTTCATGTAATAACAGTAATCAATAAGACTGAAGAACTAACTCATGACTTTTTGCTCTAATGCTAATTCCATTTAAGTACGAAGTTTGAGTAAAGTTTGAGAAAGTTCTTGCCCTTAGCTCAGTGCTACCCCAAAACAGAGGCCAATATCAGATCCTCTGAGTAAATTTAGAGGGTTAAAGCTGTCTTCTTTGCAGCTGACAGAATCCCTGAAACTGTCTGAAGTTGATCAGGAGGACCACGTCTCTGGCCAGGCAGCATTCAAGGTAAATCTTATTTTCAACAGCCCATGATGTCTCCTAGTAAGGTTTTCCAGAGGAAATCATGGCATTCTCATGGCAGGGGAGGAGGGGGGAATCTTATCATAAAGGGTTGGAGTTTCTGCTTTGAAACAGCAAGAGCTGTGCTTGTCTCCGGATGGACAGAGAGCTGAAGCCTCTGCCCTTACTTCTTCAGGAATAAAGGGAGGGTAAAAAGAAGGCTGCTGGAGTTCTGAGCAGCAGAGACATCAGAAATGCAGGCAATAAACTGAAGCCTGTCTCAGGAACTGAATTTCTTGTTGAATGGATAAGCTATATCAGACTTTGCTGAAGCTGCAGAAGTGATGCAGTAGGTCACTAAATGTGCCTCCCAACAGGCTGAAATGTCTGCCAGGGGCATGGAACAAGTTTTGACACGTGTCCTTCTGCTTTGGGTGGAGGAAGCTGCTTTTGGAAGAAGTCCTCTCCAGAACTGGTAGCCTTTTACCATGCATAGGGGGAATATCTAACTTTAGAAAGACTAAAGGTCTTCTGGCTGCTCTTCAACATCAGTTTAAAGCAGCACAGCATAGGAGACGCCCCAAGTGCCAGACAGGAGAAGGGTCTCTCCTTCCCTCAGAAAACAGCATGTGCTGAAGCACTCCTGCAACCCAGACACTTGCAGGTAGGCAGGACCTTCCCAGCTCTGGGCAACTCAGTCTTTTAGCAAAGATGCTGCTGTAACAGGTCTGGCTTTGGGCAAAGCACATGGAGTTCCAGCTATTTTGGTGTCACTGTATTGGACCATTCTGTTTTCTTCTAAAGGTGTTAAAAAGTTACTCTTAGAGTGTCTTCAGTATTGCAGGAGCTGATTGCTTGGACACCAGAGAATGAAGCAAACTGAACAAATTTACCATTCACCCAGGCCTGGGTTATCTCCTTTTGTAACAGAACAATACAAGAGGCAGACTGAACAGTTCCCCTGAAGGTGCGTCTTGCCTCATTATACCGGTAATATTTTATACTTTAGGTCTAAACATAAAGCAGAGAGCACTTAAAGCTGTAAGAGCGTATTTGATTAAAAAGAAAAGCTTCAAAAAAGGCCTACCTCCCTACTCACTCTTTTTAAAGAAAGAAATAAAACTATTCCTAAGATTACCTAAAAAGGGTGTTATTTTAAAGGCAATACTTTAAATTAAGACATTAAAAAGAAAAAGCTGGCTTTGCTACAGGAGATAGAAAAGAAGCTTAAGGCAGAACTACTGTAGCCAGTGAGAATGCAAAAATGTTCTCACTTATATCAGAAAGCAATCAAGAAGAACTGATGAGCATCATGCCCTTCATGGAGTAGTGTAAGTGGAGGGCACAGCCCTCCATGCCCCTAGACAGCGGCTGTGAGAGATTGGGCTTTCTGAATTCTCCAAGGTAGAAGAATTTTTTTTCTTCAGTATCTCAAAATAGGCAGCAAAACATTAAAACAATTTTCAACATATAAAAATACCTGTTCTGACAAGCATGCTTCCAGTGTACAGAGATGCTGTTTTACAAAAATAATATAATTCAAATGCTTCATAATTTCTCCCCACCATTACTGTTTCTGGTTCAATTTCTGCATTTGGAATCCAGAATCAATTAAATAAGGTTTGTTGTTTTTTTTTAACACAACGACTGAAGTGTTGGTCCGGCACACCCTTCTGTAGATAGGATATCCAGTGTAGAAAAGTCAGAAACCTGCCTTAAAAATAATTGTTTGCATCATTCCTAAGTTGCAGCATACTTTTGTTCCCATTCAATTCCAACATGAGAATAGCAGTACAGGAACCCGAGAACAGTCAGTGTCGCCCATGGCCAACCTAGAACCAGAAAAGACAGACAATCCTAGTCAGAATAATTAATGATTACTTCAAGTAGAAATGCTCTTGGGATGACTAACTTATCATGGTCCTAATTAATTTTATTAGCAACTCAGTCTCATAAGTAAGTAGAGCCAACCCACAAAATTTGAAAAGGGAAATCTGGATTGTCGAAGGTTCAGGGATGCCTGACCCGCTGCCGGCTCCAGTCTTTTCCATTTTCAGGGAACTAGACCAGGTTTATTCCTGTCAAATTAAAAAGGTCTGTTTCAATCTTCTCCTTTGTAGTGGGTTTGTCTATCAAGCAGATTCCCTGAATGAGCCCTGATGCTTTAAGCTGGCTGTGGTGCTTCCCAGGCACAAAGGGATGCACAGCCATTATTAAAAATATGAACAAGTCCAGTTACCTGTTCTGCAAAGGGAGTCTGGGAAAACCTCTAGAAACCTCTGATTAGGGCTGTTTTGGATATCCTGCAGCTGGGTGTAAAGCCTAAGTACGCACTCTACAGCCCACTCACAGCGAATGGGGTAAGAACACAATTGTGTCAGCGCAGAACAGACAGCCCTATCTGCCTGATTTGCCTGATGCCCAGATTATCTTTTAACTAAAAAGACTCACTCCTCCAATATATATAACCTTTCCTGGAGAAATGACATTTCATTATTATTTCAAATTTTTTTCTGGTGAAAGTCACCATCTTTTCACTTGGAACTTTTCACAGCTAACAGCAGTAAGCAGGAGGTCACAAGCCAAAAGGTCTATTGCTTTCCTGTAGAGTTGTAAACAATTTGAAAAATCAGTAATCAAGTAAATAATTTTGCTTTCCTTGATCCCTTTCCTGGCACCTCTGTTTCCTTTGTTCACTCTCCTCCTCTCTTTAGAATTTATGAAATTTAGATCTTATATGTTGAAACCTTCAGTATTAAGCCTCAATGTTTTTTGGTGTGTGTTGTCTGTGGGAATGGGACAGGGAGGAAGGTTTTTGAGGGTTTTTTGGTGGCTTTTTGTTGCTATTATTGACGTAAGAATTTTGGTTATACATGTGACTGTTTTTCTGCACGCTGTCCTTGAACTACCAGCACTTGCTTCTGAAAGAAAAACTTCAGCGCTCCTTCCTGGGGAAAACTCTGGTCTGAAGGAACCCGCTGGCAGATGTAAGATTCCCATTTGGCCTGGAGAAGGGATGGAGAGAAGGTGTAACCTCATCACGTGATACTCCAAGAAGAGCTCTTTCCACAGGTATATTTACAAGGTGTTTTGCAGGCTGGCTTTGTCCAGGCTTCAATCTAATTCCAGTCTGGAGACTGTTTAATTGTGCTCACCTCTAGCTGAGCCTTATCTTAACACCATGGCCTCAGCAGGGCTCCCAGCCCCAGGCTGGGTCCTGCACTTCCAGGGATCACAAGTGCTGGGACCCCTCCTCTCTGCTCCAAGAGCTCAGGCAGTGTCACACTTCACTCTGGAACAGGTTCAGAAAGAGTTGTGTTTTTTGCCCTGTGAACAGCTGTGTGTCTGCTTCATGAACCTCTAATTGCTCTGGCCTTGCTTTGTGGTGAAATATAGTCTTGTAACCTGACTAATTTCCATGGAGAAAATTTACAAATATTAATCCTTTGCCCTCACAACACCCTAAAGCAAAATTATACTTTTTGTTTAATTATTTGTTTCAAAATTGCTGAGGTATCTCCAAAGGGATTTTTAACAATAAAATTGTCTTGTTTTTATTTCAGTGAAATTAGGCTACTGCAGATTGGGTTTTACCTTCGATAGCAAGCTAAAGCCCAGCTGTGCTTTGTCTCTGCTAAAATTGCACGTGAAAATATGTCGATAGATGTAATAAAAACATACCTCTTCTGGCAGCAATACTGTGGTGGCTGCTTTATACAGATGGAGCCAGAAAATTAAAAAAGGACTGAGTGTAGAATTGTACTTCTTTTGAAGGGGCACTTTGAAAATGCAAACATCTAGCAAATTTCCAAATACTTTAAAGCTCTGGCACACAGAAAATGTGTCAACAGTAGTCTTTAGTCTGACTTGTTTGCTATCCCCAGCCACTGTATTAGAGATCTTGTCAGTATACGTAAGTATGCACTGGAAATATTTTCTAGATGTCTTAGATTTATGATAAGATTCCTCCATAGTACCCAGAACCTGGGTTCATAGGGTTCTCAGCCACTATAATCAGGCTTGTGGTAATCCTCCTGCAACAGTAACAGGTGTCAGGGTGGCATTCAGCACATCATCTTCTCCTAATTTAATGAAGATGAGAAGGAAGGGGGGAGAGAAAGTGACCACATGGGTGAGGGAAAAGGGGAATTTTTAAATTTAATCTTTCTACAGCTATTCTAGGAGGAGCTGCACAGATCTGAAAGCATTTCTTGCTGCACAGGTGGGAGGTAGCTCCAAGCAAGGGTAAGAGAGCACCTCTGCCTTACTGGCCCTTCCTTGCCATACTGGAACCATGAGCATTGCTGCTGGGTGTGGGGAAATGCATGTGCTGCACAAGCGAGTGAAGCAAAGGCATCACGTTCTGCTCCAAGGCAATCCCAAATTGGCTCCAGTCCACACAAGGCAGATTTGCACAAGTGCATCCAGACCTGAGCAGCAGTCCAAAGACAGCCTGAAGCAAGAGGGGGATATTTAAACTGTTTTCATGCATCTCTTCCATTTTAGGACTGGTTATACAATAAACCTGTTGAAAAGTCTGAAGCACTTTGTCTCCAGAAGGTGATGAAGTAGGGAGTACACACAGATCAGTGTTGATCCATCGGGGCACAACTTTAAATTCTGCCTATGGTGTCATCCTTGTATGTGATCTCCATAACCAAAGCAGCATGGTCTGCTCCCTCGCAAGGTAAGTTCACAGGAACCTTGTTTCTCCTCACAAATCCTTGTGAACAATCAAACAGTACTTATGGTCTCAGATCCGCTGTCCCAAGGACTCCCATTCTGCTCCTACTCTCAAGACAAGGGGCTGTTCTTTCTGGTGGCTCCCCAGCTTTGCCTTATCACCCTAAAACACTGCATCCTTACCTATGCTGTAACACTCTCCAAATTCTGCATGGAAAAGTACCTGCCTGCATTCTAGATAAGTCATACATAAAATGTACTCTTAGAAACATTGTTGGGTTCAAATCAAGCACTAGGCTGTTAAGAAATGACTGAATTAAATTTGTTTATTCAAAAACATGTCACATACCCCCTTAAATCTTGCAGTTTCTTGACTGGTTTCAGTAATTTGATTTTAGGCTTGAAGGCCAAGTTTCATAAGACAACTCAGATTTTCATGGTGGTTTTTTCATGGGATGATTAATTTGTATTCATTAACACGTGCTATTTGTAAATACAACGACAAATTCATATGCTATTTGCAAATCCAGCAATATTTTTGAGCTCTATCTGCACAAATTTCTTCTAAGACAGCTGTATGTCCCTTTTAACAAAGGAATGCTGGGTGAGAATCATGGCCAAATTTTCTGCTTATTGCAATGTATGCTGCTCCACAAAACATCAAACTCCTTTGTGAAGAGGACTGCAAATTTTGTGGAGAGGGAACAGCAGCACCTTCTCCATCTATCACACAACCTCCTCCTAAAGAAGTCTTCAGTCCCAGCTAGGCATGAGGCACCATTCCTGTCACAGACACGTGATGGACTGTCCAGAGGTCTTGCTGGTTAAAACCACATTTTAACACATTACATACTCAGCTTTCAGCCTAATGAAGGGAGACTTGTCTTCGTTACATGATCAAGACAGAATTAATACACACTTGCTGCAACAGGAACAGCTTTTAGAGTTACTCTTTCCTTTCAACTTCCTACCACTTATTCCAAAATGTTTCTGGATACTTTGCAAACATCTGGAAGAGGTAATGTTTCTGCACGCTCTGGATTTTAATGAGAGTGGGCCAAAACTAAGCTTTCAACTCAAAAATAACACCCTGGATCACAGGTCTCAAAAGATCAGTTATGTCCTTATTACCTCAGTTCAAATAATTTGAACCAACATTTAATCATGTATCCAGAAGGAAGTTCTTTCAAATTTCCTAATCACCTCCAGTAACGAAAAAGAATCGCACCAGCAATGTTTTGGGCATACCCAGGTTTCACATTGTCCTCAATACACTAGGAAAGAGTCCTTTGCTCCTTCCAACCTGTGAGATGTAAGAGAAAGGGACAGTAGTTACATTTTGCATTTTTCAAAACTGCCTTAGTGGCTTTTGAACCTTAATGCTATTTTTAGATGTGACTTGGCTGTACAGTACTCAGAAGTCTTCAAGTGCAGAGTAGTTATTAAATCAATTGAAGTCAGGAAAAGTAATCTCTCTGAAAAGCTTGACTTCAGGAGCATACATCTTATTCTGACTTTGATTTGGAAGTGCTTAAGTTCCTGTAAGACTTAGCACTCAGGAAAATTTATCCTTAAACAAAAGTTCAAATGTGACAAGACACTGAAGCAACTCCTCTGTAGAGTGGAATTAAGGAGACACAATGGTGGGAAGGAGGAGGAAGAAGCACCAGTTTGTCAAGCATAATAAAAAGCCAAAGCAAACTAGTATTTGAGGCCAAGACATCTCTTACCTATAATTAGTCAAATCTTTATAGAGCAGTAAAACTACCACATTTTCAAAAAAAATTATAATACATTCAAAACCAAAGATCTGTTGAAAGAACCCTATTATCTAGCCCAACATTTGAAGGAAACTATAAACTCTGCCTTTTAAAATTTTAATTTTGTGTCTATCACTTCCAGGTGGACCCCTCTGACCATTAGAGCAGGGCATATCCAACAGCACATATTACAAACACGGTGCAGTCTGATACCCAATTATTCTTTAGGTATTTGGAAAAAAAAAACCCTTCCTGTTTTCAACTGTGTTGTAGCAAAGCCATAACCTGATTCATACCAGGGCTTTTTGCTGCTTTCAGCCTCCACATTGCACATGTAGCAAAGGACAGGCAATAAATTCTCACAGCTCTCGATGTCCCAGCTGGGCACC